CCCTAACGCATCACTAGAGATGCTAAACAGTAGTATGCCTGTGGTATCTCTCTGCTCATTTTGCACTTATTTAGTGGTACTTAGCTTATGTATGGGCAAACTTATTAGTTACAACCAAAGTCAAACTCTAATTTTAACCAAACATTCACAACAACTATCTATTTATTATCCACAGTACAGACTTAATTTGCAGCATATCCAGGCATTATCAGTTCATTGCTTTGAACCATTGCTCTTTCTTCAAACATAGCTGTAGGGTTTCTTGCTGCATTGCATGATATGATTTTGGATGTGGTTTGACTTCCATAACAATATTGAATGACACTTAGAGCATGTTTGGCTAAGCTTAAAATCCAATTAAAATTAAAAATATAACCGTTATTGGGCCCCAGTCGTCTAATAAAAGTCAACAACGGCTAGTTTTTCAATTTTAATCTCTACCGAACACGCCCTTAATATCCACCTCTGTACTTGTGTTTTCCTCGATGCAGGCCCTTACTACATCCACAGTGAAAAAAGGAGGTTACTCATCTGGTGATGTGGCAGCCCAATACAAGTATAATAATATTTCTACTGAAGTCAAAGTTGATACTGAATCAAATGTATGATGCTCAGACTTTGATCTCGTCAATACAAACTTTCCACTGGAAATTATCTTATTCTTCTTTTTTGCAGATCTCAGCAACTTTTACTGTTGCTGAAATTGTCCCGTCATCAAAGACTATTGCTACTGTGAAATTTCCCAATTATGAATCTGGCAAGGTGCCTGCTACCCGTTGTCTCCTTGCTAAGAAATTATTCCATTTTATTTATCTACTTCTGTTCTATGTCTGAGATATTCACTTCTAATTAAAATGTTATGGTTGCTTTCTTATTTCCCTAACTGGTTTTTCCTTCATTTTTTTTTCTTGAGCAGCTGGAGTTCCAATACTTCCACCCACATGCATCCCTGACTGCAGCTGTTGGTCTGAACCAATCCCCTCCTCTCGATCTTTCTGTCACTCTGGGCACTCCCACCTTTGCTCTGGGTGCAGAGGCAGGTTATGAGACTACTTTGGGTAAATTAACAAAATATACCGCAGGAATTACTGTGACTAAACCAGAATCTTGTGCTTCAATAATTTTGTAAGCCGCAATTTTGTTAGTCCAGAAATATTATTTTTTAATCTTTATTTTACTCTGTTTTCTTGTTAGAAAAGAAATGTTATGCTTTCTTTTGCTCCTCTCAGGGGTGACAAAGGGGACACGATAAAGGCATCTTACATACACTACCTAGATCAATTGAAGAGAAGTGCTGCTGTGGGAGAAATCACCCGAAAATTCTCCACAAATGAGAACACGTTTACAGTTGGAGGTTCTTATTCGTATCTACCGGAATGTTTGCACTTTATGAAGCTCAATAATCACGGCATACTAGGTGCTGTTTTGCAGCACGAGCTCATTGGGAAATCAGTGATGACTCTATCTAGTGAGTTTGAAACCAAGGCCTTGGATAAGACACCCAGATTCGGTGTGGCCCTTGCTCTGAAGCCTTGAGAGAAATCCTTGCAAAATCATATTGCCGTTTGAAACTCGTTCTTCTGTTGTTTTTTGGGATGATGCTAGAAGGAAACGCGTAATATGCAGTTGCATGAATATTGCTGTTTTCATATCTTAGGTGACTCTAGGTGTGGTTTGCTATGATGCCTTAGCCATGCTTTCGCCTTTGCTCAGTTTTTCCAACTTCGTTCTCAGATTTTCATTTCTTGTCAAGGTATTTTGAGTTTATTAACATTCTTTAGGGCTCAAATGAAGAACTCTTCTCTGAATTTGGAGGTATCAACTAATGCACACCCAAAACAGATCTGTATGTAATAATGTACTTATATGTTACCCTTTTAGCTCAATATTCATTATTGTTATCAATCATAGAATTGACTTTCTGGTGTGCTTAAAAGTTCTTTAGAAGGAGCTTTTATTCGTGCTGCAAAAAAATTATTTAATGGCTTTTAAGCATGCCCAACCATGGTCAACCTCAAAACTATTAGCTCTCACTCAAAAGTTGGGCGTGAAAAGAAAATATTTATGACAATCCAATTTTCAGTAATGGCTCTACAAAGAAATTTGCTTTGCCTGGATGTGTCACAAGGCCATTTCAAATGAAGTGACAGAAACATTTTTGGATAATATTGCAAACTTTCAGATTTTAACATTGAATTAACATGGTATGTCCTTAAGGTGCAGGTGACTGATTTTTTTAAAACAATGCTTATGTTGACAACGAGGGCCAGAAAAATATTCATGTACCTTATTGATGTATTCTACTACCAACTGTAAATAAATTTTACCTTTGTGTAGCATTATAATTTTTTCCACACAAAGAAAACATTGACGTAAAGTGATCAGTTTTGAAGAATGATTCACATTTCAAGTATCTTTCGAGATGAGGTGGACCTTCAATGATTTGACTGAATTGAGAACTCGAACAAGTAGAAATCTGAATTCCAGTCTTTCTATATCTTAACGTTTTAAATGGCAAACATGGACTTGAGAATAATGAGAACGTAAACTAACACTACAATAAAAATAAAAAGACACGTAAAATGCACCTGGTAAATCAATTTATGGGTGTTGTTGAAAGGATAAAAATCTTGTTTGAAATGGTCAAGAGTGAGAGCATACCTCCCTGTTTTGCACCTTGTATGCACTTCCGTCTCAGTCATGACATTCAACTTTCAACGTCATCCACAAAAGTAGTGTGAAATCTTCAACCATCCAAGTCAGTCTATCGAGGAAAACGAAATGCAGATTTTTTTAGCCAATCTAAATCCTTGAATTCTTGTAGGCAAACCTAAACGTAGTCAAGGGGTTATTTGACAAAGCCTTTGATAAAAAAAAAAATTAGCAAATTTTGATAGCAGTTGATGAAATGAGTGGTTGAGAAGTTGATTAAAGTTGTTTATCCTATGAAATGTGCAGTTAAAATTGAAATTTGACCGATTGAAAAGTTGATAAAACTTTGACAAATTTAATTGAACAAGCACTAAACTTTAGACATTTCAAGAATACTTTTTAATAATTCAGATGTGTTCCAAAAGCAGCACCTAAATACGAAGCGGACGCAAAATGCCTCAGCTAGCGCTGTTTTATTATTATTATTATGCCTAAGCGTGCTATTTCACACTTTTTTTCTTTAATTATTAAATAATTTCTAGATCCATTTAAAAATTTAAAATAGTATTTAATGAGTTCCACCCCTTGCTTGATGTTTCAACAATGTGAGGTTTCAAGATTGGTGTTCCCAAACGAACCACCATCTAGCAAAGAATATTAAAAATAAAATATTGCTTCACTTTAATCTGAAAATAATAATTAATAAATAAAGACATGGGGTTGATCTTCTAAAATGAAACCTAAAACTCAATGTAACTTCCATAGTTGCAAAAATAACGTCAAATGATCTATATACCTAATTTTATATTATTTGAAAATAGTGTTTAAATTTTTATCAATGGATACGCATATATCGATTTTTCCACATTATGTTTTATCATTTTGTATCTCATACTTGTACAAGGAATTCTAGATATGGACTAATTCTTAGAAGAAACTAATGTTTGACTAACGGACGTTAATTCTTAGAGGAAACTAATGTGGTCCATTTCTAACAATTTAAACTTTTAAATGAAATAATTAATGTGAACAAACTCTAAAATGAAAGTGAAATAACGCGTAAAATGAAGTCGGGAAATCAATTTATGGGTGGTGTTGATAGGAGAAAAAGACTCGTTTGGAAAAAAGGAGGTGCTACAAGTACATTGGGGTGTACATAACGATGTTTATAATGGACACCCGGCACCTCCCCGTCGGCACTTCATCCAATGAGGAGGTGTCGGATGTCTATTATTGACACTCTTATGTACCCCCTAATGTACAAGTAGCATTTTTCTTGGAAAAATCAAGGGTGAGAAAGTACCTCCCCTGTTTCACACCTTATCCGTATCACTCCCGTCTCAATCATAATAACTATCAACTTTAATAAATCCATAGAAGTATGTAATCTTGAATTATCAAAGTCATAGTCAATGGTTGAAAAGTAAAAGTAGATTTTATAGCCAAGCTACATCCTTGAATTCTGGTAGGCAACCCAAAACATAATTAAGGGACTGTTTAACAAAGCTTTTAATAAAAAATTTAGTAGAATTTGATAAAAATCGATAGATGTTCGGTTAAAAAGTTTATAAATATTACCGAATTTGTATTTTTTTCCCCCATATTTCAAATACTTCGTAAAGTGTCCAATAAATTATTGGATGTTCTTTTAATGGTTTCATACATGATGTTGATCTTCCAAGATAAAAGCCCAAAACTCAATATAATTTCCATAGTTGTAGAAAAAATTACATAACGTCAAATGATTTATATACCTAATTTTAGATTATTTGAAAATAGTGTTTAAATGGTTATTAAATGGTTATCAATCAATGCGCGTACGTTGACTTTTCCACATTGTATTTCATCCTTTTGTAAAAGGGATGAGCCGCATCCTTGACGGCCCCCACTTGCCCTACCCTGGGCCTTGGTGAAAAAGGTAAATCACAGATTATGCTTCCAAGGGTATAGGGTGGAAGACTACTTGTACACTTGCACTTACCCAATGGTCAAATCCATATTTTAGAATTCGAACTCTTGACGCGGCAATCTCAAGCAAAGTTGGATTTTTTCCACATTCCCCTTTTACCACTTGGAGATATGCCCTGGGAGCTATTTCATCCTTTTGTATCTCATACAGTATACTTGTGCAAGGCATTCTTAGAGAAAAGTAATGTTTGACCATCAAACATTGACTCTTCTTATATGGCAAAAGTTTATTTATGCTTAAGCATACCAATTTTTGTTCTGTTTTGTGTTCCTCTGAATTCACCCGTCTTCAATTTGCTCTCATGAAACTCAACTCAACTCATATTGTATACATGCACTGTTGTATTTTCTCCGTACTAGAGATAACACTGCGTAAAACTATGAGTTCTTGGAAATGCCTTGCTTTCATTTTCCTCAGTCTGACTAATCTTTTTGGTTCCGTTAAATCCCAGTATAATCCATGTGGACAGAATGGTAATTACACGAGTAATAGCACTTACAGAGCTAACCTTAATACCCTTCTCTCCTCCTTCTCCTCTAATATTGATTCCAATGGATTCTACAACGCCTCCATGGGAGAAAATTCTGATAGAGTTAATGCCATTGCACTCTGTAGAGGAGATGTTCAGCTTGATACATGCCGTAGTTGTATCAATAATGCCACACGCTCTATTGTACAGTCGTGTCCTTATCAAAAACAGGCGAATTTTTGGGGTCCACGTGATTGGTGCATGTTACGTTATTCTAATGAGTACATATTCGGAACACTTGCAACTTCCCCCAGCTTTTATCGCTGGAACATAAACAACGTCACAAGTCAGGAGGAGTTCTACCGGGATTTGAGAACATTGTTGGACAATCTACGTGGCCGGGCGGCTAATGGTGGTTCCCTTAAGAAGTTTGCTTCTGCGAATACGACTGGACCAGATTTTTTGACAATTTATGCACTTGTACAGTGCACCCCTGATTTAACCTCGGAGGATTGTAGTGATTGCCTGACTCAGGCTACCCAATATATACCACAATGTTGTAATAGAAGTCCAGGATTTGGTTTCTTCTCCCCTAGCTGCATTCTTCAGTACGAAACCTATTCGTTTTATAATGATACTTCTCAGTCGGCACCACCACCACCACCACCACAACCAGTACCGGTACCACCAATACCGGTACCACCAGGTGAGAAAATCCTTGACTTCTATTTTGGTTTGAGTATATATAAGAGCTGCTTCTCTATATATGGTATTTGTGAGATCCGACGGGCAATCTATTCATTACCTTACAATTAAGGGACTACAATCAATCTTATCAAAATGAAATTAATAGCATGCCGGTAAGGTGGATTGGACCAATAGTATTAAATAAGAAGAAAAACTATCATGTTCATTTTATGATGCCCAATTGATGTAAAATAAATGACTGAATGGATTAAAGAAAAATTGGATTGAAATAGGAAATATGTAATAGTGCAATGTGGCATTCGAGTTCAGATTTGGGCCCATAAAAAATTTCGGAAAGAGAACAATGAGACGAGAACTACTTTTAAAGTTTTAGTGCTATTTTCGTTATTTAGTTTATTTTGAATTCTTTGCAATTTTAGTTTATTTAAACTAGGTTTTCATGTAAACTCTTATACATAAAGGGTTAATTTGTCGTTTTTTTTATGATCTTACATTAATAAAACTTCGAGAATTTATTTCTTCATAATTTGGTGGATTCCAAAATTACGTTCTTAAGGTTTTCGCTTGAATTCCTTGTTTGGCGTTGTGTCAAGTGGCATCAGAGCAGGCTTTTCCCATCTCTATATCTTTGATTCATAAACATGGGTAACGTACTAGTTACTAGGGCAAATTTGAAAGCTCAGAATCGACGAATTGACGATCTTACTTCTCTGATCGAAGAGATTCATCAACTATTGCCTCGGGGTGTTGGAAACAACAAGCAGAATGAACAATAGACAATAAACAATGAACATATCATTGAGCCTGTAGTTCGGGAAGGAAATAATAGGAGACGTGCAGCAAAAGAAAGTGAATCAGAGTTAGAGGAGGAGTTCAAAGCCAGCCGCGTAACCTAATCATCAAAACTGAAAACCGAAATACCTTTGATACTTATCGAATTAAAGCAGACATTCAACCGTTCTTTGGTAACATGAAGATCGATGACTTCTTAAATTGGTTGGTAGAGGTTGAATGATTTTTCAAAATTATGGTTTTTTCGAAGACAAGATGATTAAAATGGTGGTGTTCCATTTGAAATCTACAGCAGCAGTATGGTGGGATCAATTGAAGAATGCTCGAAGGAGACAAAGAAATAGTTGGATTCAAAGTAGGGGAATGATAAAACAGTCCATGATGGATTGATTTCTACCCGTAAATTATGAACAGATTTTGTATCGAATGTACTTGGGATGCATGTAGGGTAATCGTACTGTATTAGACTATACCAATGAATTTATATAGTTGATAGAGCAAAACAACCTATTAGAGTCTGTAAATCAAAAGAATGTTATTTAAGATAGAATTGGGTTGTAGAATATCCGGACGTTGCATGAAGCCATTAACATGGCGAGGAAGGCTGAGATGATGGAATCTGATAAGAGGGTGATTTCGTACAGAAGACCCCTACATGTCGAACTATCACCATCCATTTCTTCAGACAAAGGAAAGGCCCCACAACCAGCCAATCCTAACAGGAACAATGTTGACAACTATGGTCAGTTTGGAAACAGAGGTCAGACTTGAGGGGCACCTTAGAATACAAGCCCACGTGAGATATTTGTTATAGATGCCACAAGCGTGGGCATCGTTCCAATACTTGTCCAGAAAGAATGCAGGGCAATTTGGTGGAACCGGAGACAGTGGACGAGGAAGAAGATAATGATGTGGAAGATGAGTATGAAGGAGTTGAGTTTGCTGTTGAGAAAGGTATTGAGAGGCTCACTTTGGTACTGCATCACATCCTTTTGTCACCTAAGAAGGAGGCGTAGCGTCACTACATCTTTTGGTCACTTTTTTCGGTTAAGAATAAGGTGTGTGAAGTGATTGTGGACAACGGAAACTGTAAGAACTTAATGTCGAAGAGGTTGGTGAATTTGCTGAAATTACCAATAAAGAACCATCCTAGACCTTATTCCCTTAGTTGGGTGAAGAGATGTCATTCTATTCAAGTTGCTGAAACTTGCAAACTACCTGTTTTTATTGGTAAACACTGTAAGGATGAAATTATGTGTGATGTTATAGACATGTATGCTTGTTATATCCTATTGCATCGTCCATGGCAATTTAATGTGGATTCAACTCTCAAAAGGCGTGATAATTGGTACTCTTTTCATGGGGCAGTCATAAGATTGCTATAGTTCCTCTCAAACAGTCGGAGAATTCTACCCAACAACGAACCGAAAGTTTCCTTACCCTTACAAAAAATGAAAATGAGATTGCAGAGTCTATAAGAGAGTTCGATTGTTTTAATCCAATAGTGGTTAAGGGCTTTTTACTAGAAATAAGGAAGATGATGGTGTTTTATTCTGAGTTGCAAGAAATATTGATAGAATTTGAAGATTTAGTTTTTGATGAATTGCCGAATGTGTTGCCTCCTATAAGGAATATTTAGCACCAGATTGAATTAATACATGGGGCTAGCCTTCCAAATTTGCCTCATTACCGAATGTGCCTTAAGGAGAATGAGATTTCTAAGAAAGCAAATTGAGGATCTGTTGAGGAAATGATACATAAAAGAGAGTACGAGTCTGTGTGTAGTACATGTCCTCTTAGTACCAACGAAGGATGAAAAGTGACGTGTGTGTGTTGACAGTCGTGTCATCAACAAGATAACGATCAAATAAATGTTTCCCATTCCACAGCTGGAAGACATGTTAGATATGCTTGGCAGCAGGGTCTTTGCGAAAATAGATCTTCGCAGTGGCTATCACCATATCCTCATTAAACTTGGGGACGAATGGAAGATTACCTTCAAGAGCAAGGATGAACTTTACGAATGGTTGACGATGTCATTCGGATTGTCAAATGCCCTAAGTACCTTCATGAGAGTGATGAACCAAGTTCTTCGTCCTTTTATTGGGGTCTTTTGCAATGACTTATTTCGATGATATACTTATTTACAACAAGTCCAAAGAAGATCCCTCAGTTCAATTGAGATAAGTCCTAGATGTTCTGAAACAAAATCAATTGCGCATCAACTTGAAGAACTGCACTTTCTGTACACATAAACTGTTCTTTTTAGGTTTTGTTATATATCACTTCTCCCCTAAATAAGTTGATATCAGATGTTTGTTCTTGATAAAGATGAGTTGGTATTTGTGAAATTCAATGGCAGAATTTCGGTTTTGGTATGAAACCCTTTATTCTCCTTTCAATAATTCAAAGGTGAAAGAATATTTGGATTTTAGTTACAACGATTCGTCAATCTTTGACTAAGAAATTAAAAAAATTGTGAATTTGGGAAAAGACAATTACAATGGCTTCTCGATCTTCGATAAAGAATGTATGGATTTGTGTGATGGCCTCTTTTATGAGAGTCTAATATTAATGTCTTTGGTGGATGGTATAAGGAAATCAAAGTTGATTTTAAGTGTTAAGAGATCATATTGATCTAGAGATGCCTATTATACTTTGACCTACGTTTAAAGAGTATTTTGTGGTGTGCTTTGCAAATTTACCAAGTAAATTACAGTCATTACAAGACTTTGGTTGATAACATTGTATAAGATTCCAGGATCAATCTTCACCAATCGAAGGAGAATGATGGAAATTGAATATATTGAATTCAATTTAATTAAGCAATTTTTGTCTATATTTTATATTTGTTTATGATTAGGAGTTTTTTATTATATTTTAGTTAGTATTTTCTAGTAAATAAATTCGAAATTAAATTTCTGATTATGCCTTTTAATTTAAGTCATTATATAAAGTTAGGCATTATTTAGACTTTAGTTGTTATTCATATTTTAATTATTACTTTTAATTATGAGTTGTAAGACTCAATGACAAAAGAAATTGATTTTTGAATTCTTTTTTTAAAATTTACAACTCTAACTCCTCCATTTCTTAAATTCTCAATATTTGATATTTAAAATCAAAGAGTTCGAAATCTCCTTTATTATTCTTAGAGCTTCTGCGACCCTATCTCACTAATGCTACAATTCAAATGATGTGCTAAATTTATTTTAGATTTTAACAGAAAGTATTACTTCTAGTCAAACATTCCAAGTAGTAAATTTTAAATGATAATATTATCATCGTATTATTCTGGATTTTGTAGGAAATGATGATAATACAACTCGAACCATAATCATTACTATTGTTGCAATTGTTGCGGGCCTAATACTTGCTCTTTCCATTGGCATCATCATAAGAATGAGACGAAAGAGTAAACCACAAGAAAAATATGAAAGTAAGTTTAATTTTATTTAAATATCTATTTTTAAATATGTCAATCACTATCTTCATGTTCTTTCACTTACAATTGGGTGAAACGTTATTTTTATATATTTTCAAGCTGACAATGAGATAAGTACCGTTGAATCCCTCCACTATGACTTTGGTACAATTAGAG